AAAAAAAACCCCACACTTGTATTCCTAATCACTTATCCAGCAACAGGAAACTCTGGACATGTCAGCAGTACCTTGCAGGGAATACAGCTTCCACTGGTAAACATCCAAATGTTTGTTAAATACCAGTTACGTTTTGGCTAAGATTTGGCACTTATCTCTCAAAAGATGTTCAGATAACAGAACAGTTTTTGGTTGCTTTGATTTAGTCTGTTCGGAGGTCTACTTTAGGTGGCAAAGGGTCCTTGGCCAAGACATTGATCTAAAAGTTGAGCTTGATGTTGATGGCATGCAAGCACCTTACAAGGGGGCAATACTAAGGCCCAAAGCACAGCAAGTACAGTCTGTTTAAACTCTGTTTAAACCATTAGTTCAAACCAAAACAATTTGAATAAGTTGTTTTTTGTTCTGTTTTGTTTGCTTTCCATATGAATGGTAAATCTGGAGAGATCTAATAGATCTGAAGCTATACAACAATCCAGTTATTCAACCAAGTTTGTGGTCAGCTGTGTAGTTATTCATACAGTGCTTTCTGTGACAAGCTTCAATGATAAAGTAGAATAAAGCCCTTGTTAGATTCCTGGTATACAGCATGTGCGCCCACAGGTGTACAAAATTTCATATAAAAATATCCAGAAAACATAAAACCAACTGATGACTAATGTCCACATGTACCCAAAAACAAAATCATTGCTTTAACAGTTGATGTGCGTGCAGTCGGTCCTATAAAAAGTCTAACTCCAAAAGAAGATCAGCTCTCCCATCAAACTATCGCAGGGTCAATAGTCCTTTCTTCAGCCAAAACTATTCAGAAAAAAAAAGTATGGTTAAAGGACAGAAAGTCAGGAAGGAAGCACATGAAGGACATGATCAAGCTTTATGAGAAGGGGATCAGTTACCAGTTTCTTCCCTTCTTGTTGGCATTATATAAATGCTGACAAAGAGCAAAATGATAGTCAGTCCTGTGACTGTGAAAGCATCTCACTGTCTCCACTGCAACTAAGCAATCCTATTATTAATCTTAAAAATATATATATTTTCTATTATGAAAACAACTTTTCATATGCTTTTTAAAAAAAAAAAATCCAGAAAAGACTCTCTCTCCAGGTTTTAACACAAGCAATTTATCTCATATGACTAATGTCATAACAAAGTTAAAATGCTGGAGATATTAAGAAAGCTCTGGAGATTTCTTGCTGCAAAGAAGCTCCTTAAGTACTAACAAACTGGGACCTTATAAAAATGATTGTCCAAGTGGTGCAATAGGATAAATAGAGCCAATAATTGTTTAAGGAAGCAACACTGTTTGTCGCACAAAGGTATTCTAAGTGACTGAAGAAAAAATGTTCCTGATCTTGTTAGACTGCTCATGCGAAAAGTATAGTACTTTTTCTTTGAATTAAAAAAAACAAAAAAACAATGATACCATCAAGCAAATCCAGTATTTATTTTCCCATGTTAACATGAATCATGAGTCCTTATTCTAAATCTATTTTCATTTAGTTGGTGGATAAAGCAAGATGCTGGTCTTTACTGTCTTCTATGTATTACAAATAGTAATTTAAACGCACAATTTTTCAATTATTAACTGCCGGCTGCTACCCAGATGAATGCATGGGTTGAGGAACCCATTGTCAAGTTTAATGCTACTCAGATTGCTTCACACTCAAAACCTCCATGACTGAATCACTGGGATGTTTGTAAACAGCAGTTACAAGATGCACTGCCCGTCCTAGACAGAGCTTTGCAAACCTACGTCTACATGCTGTAGCCATCATGTGGCGTACTGTCAAAATACTTGGAAGAACCGGTAATGTGGGCTACTCTTTGTGCCGTTGTTGGCCCTGTTGTTTAACCCTATGCTGCTGAGAAGACAGAAGTCATAAGATACAATGAACTATTCGGTACTGATACTGAAGTAAAACTGGTTGTTAAAACAGAATGAAAACTGTCCCCTGCACCCATTATCTGTGCTTTCCATGTGTTCTTTTTTTAATCTTTGATGTGTTTTTGCTTTTCTTCCTCTTTGTGATCAACTCAGCTATTATTCTCTTTCCGGTTTTAGACAACTTTTGAACCAATCAGTATTTGAGCTATGTAAAGTAAGGCTGGGCGATATGGCCTAAAATTCATATCGCGATAT